CTTCCCAGATTTACAATATCTTCAACTACTAGTTTCAGCAAATCACAGTATTGAAGCACCCTGAACTTCAATTTACCCATTGTTTAAAATGGATTTCTTCTCCAGTTTATTGATGTAAAGTAATTTAAGGAAAAAAAAAACAAAAAACTTATAAAAATATGCTGTTTAAGTACATACTGTTATTTCTTGTAGTACCTCAGTAATAAATACGTGACAAAGTGATTACAGTCAAATCATTCAACTTGATATTTCAGATTTTATGTCCTATATATATAGAATGCCACGATGTTCTGGGATTCTTAAAATATGCTGCCTTACATGAAGTAGTAATTCCAGGTGACCAAGCATTGTGTAAAGCATAGAACTGATGAATTTAAATCTTGGCTGTTTGTACAATTTTGATATCTTAGCTCATGATTAATAGTTTCTGGAGAAGAACCCAACTTACGGCGTGTACATTCAGTGAAGCACAGGTGTTTCTATCTTCTATTGTAAACCATGGATAATAATACAAAGTTTAACTGGAAACACTGACATTTATAAATACGTATACAATGGATTCCAAACATGATTATGAACTCAGTTTTCAAATACATATGCTGTTTAAACAGAGTACAACTGAAGTGTCAGTCTGGAAATGTGGAGTGTCAGAGCTGTCTGGAAAAGCCACTCCTGAGCTATTCAGCCATATTTTCTGACCAAGACCCTTGTGTTATGACTACTGAAGATCTTGCATGTCATAAGATTTTATGTGGAGAGCCCTTTTTAGTCTTTATCGTAATGACATGTAATGAAGCCACTTGTACCATCTAAATGTCATCTGTCCACATAAGGCAGAAGAGATTACATAGGACCACAGAATCATTAAGGTTGGAAATGACCCCTAAGATTGCCCAATCCAACCATCAGCCCTCCCCACCATGCCCACTGCCCACGTCCCTCAGTGCCACATCCACATGGCTCCTGAACACCTCCAGGGACGGTGACTGCACCACCTCCCTGGGCAGCCTGTGCCACTGCCTCATCACTGCTCTTTCTGAGAATATACTTTTCCTAATACCCAACCTGAACCTCTCCTGGAGCAATTTGAGGCCATCCCCTCTCATCCCATTGCTGTCATCTGGGAGAAAAAGCTGACCCCCCACCTCTCCACAGCCTTCTCTCAGGTGATTGTAGAGAGCTACAAAGTCTCCCTTAAGCTTCCTCTTCTCCAGACTGAACAACCCCAGCTCTCTCAGCCGCTCCCCATCAGACTTGTGCTCCAGACACCTCACAGCTCTGTTGCCCTTCTCTGGACACACTCCAGGGCCTCCATGTATTTCTTGTACTGAGGGGTCCTGGACTGATTTCAGTGAAACCTTGGCTCTGTAGAAACAAAGTACTTTTAGTAACGTCAGTGAAGCAAGGATTTTCTGTTTTTCCAAATACTTTCCCAATAGCTGATCCTATAGCTGGAGATCAATATTAGCTGCTGATGCTATTGATCTGTAGAAAGTTATTAGAAATAGTGAGTGTGATTGGAGACAAATCTCTCTTCCTCCCCTTCCAAAGGAGACATAGAGGGAAGCACCATCATTTTTTTTTGTTTTCAGAAATACATCAAGATAAGAAAAAGGGAGGGCATAGTCGGAGATGTATTTCTGCTTTTGACTAACTATTTGGGCCTATGGCTTGCTCTGAAATCACAGTTCAGTTCAGAAGACTGCTTCATTGGACACCTAACTAATTGTATGGCTCTCTGATACCCTTCTGGATCATTGCTGGCGGAAGAGCGATGTGGACAGAGTATCTCTGTAGTTTGGTCATTTCAGAGTATGAAAAAGGTCTTGTGAGGGCAGCTGCTGAGTTCCTGAGATCTGCAATGATTACAGCAATCTTAGGCTGAAGCCAGAAACTGAGGAGGGGTGGGAGGCTGAGGATGAAGATTTGACTTCAGAGAGCCTTTACACTTTGACTTGTCCTGCAACCTCTGTATATCTCAGCTGAGCCAACAGAAGAATCTAGCAATTCCTCCACGTGAGTTAGATAAACCTTTTCCATCTGGAGTTTAAAAGTAAATGCACCTTCAAAACATTACTTGAAATATATATATATAAAAAGGACCCCTTTTTCAATAATATTCTGTGTACTCATTTTATAATTGTTCTCCATTTCCTTAATGACAGTGGTAGCAGTCAATCAAATAAAGTAGGCAGTACACGTGCCTGATAAAAATTTAAACGGAAGGAGTTTTTCTCTTTTGTGATAGTTCAAGATTTCTCTCTTAATTACTTGCCTGCAGTTTCAAAGCTGAGAAATGCTATCAGAAATCACACTAGGAAATCCTCTGAGTTCAGTCAAGTCTCTGATTTAGTCAGCTTCAGTTATCGCCATCATTATCAGTTCATCTATAAATACATCTGCTTTCACGGCGCACGCATTCTGAAATGTGCCTCTGCCTCTCCGGAGCTGCAGTGCTGTCGCCTGCTATTAGCCGAGCCTCGCTTCACCGCAGCCAGCGCGAACCGAGCCCAAAACACCGAGCCCATCCCTTGTTGTTAGCTCTGATCGCTGCTGCTATCATTTGATAGTCCGCTTGTAGCCGCTCCAAGTTGGCAATGTCACCCCAAGCTGATTGGAGCCACAGACATTTTTGCTGACTGGAGTCATGCTATCTTTGCCAGTTTGCTGGAATAGACACAGACACTGATTGGGTCATGCTGAAAACATTCCTGTCCTATGAAGCAAGTCTGTTTGTATTTTAGGTTTGCCAGGACTAATGAATTAAAAATCTTGGTCTCGCCACAGCTTGCTGTTTAATAATGCCTGTGACAGAAGGATTTTTTCCTCCCTGAAGCATGACAGCATCATAATCCCTCGCCACTGGAAAGGAGAGGAAGGAAAAGCAGAATTGTGAAGAAAAGCAGAAAAGGGTGATCTTCTGGGACCGCAAAGCCCATGGGAAGTGCAGGTAGCAGCATGTTGCCCTGACAGCTGTCTCAGCTTCTCAGACCTTGTCAGTTTGTTGCTATGCAGCAGGTGCAGCCTTTTCTTTTATTGAAGCTTTACTCCATAAAGGCAACGACAAGCCAAGGCAGTGGCTGGCCCTGGATTATACAAGTGCAGACACTCCACTAAGTGAGGTAAGGCAACAGGTGTGAAAACTGAACTAAACTGATAGCGCTGTAACAACACCTAGATTATCTGGGTTCTGCTACAGACTTTTAATGAAGCATCAGCAGCCAGCGCTATAGGCAATTGTCATGAGCTAGGGGGCTGCTCATTAAAGGACATTAAATTCCAGGTTGCCCACTCACATTCATCTCTGTCTACAGCGATACCGTTCATCATGTGTGGAGAAGGCGGGTGGGATGGGGGCATTCAGGCTGTGTGTTTCCTGCATCACCTTGTTTGCACACAGAATGCTTCCACCTCTCTCTTTACTCTCATTGCTTTTTGTGATGAAGAGCTTGAGGATGCTGCACAAAACTGATTGAAGGTATAAATGTAATGTAAGAAATCAGATAGCAGAGTAATTGCTCTGTATAAAGATGTGATTTCTTTTCTGTTTGTTGTTGTTGTTGTTGTTGTTCTTTGTGTGTGTGTGTGTGTGAATTAGAATAAAATGAAAACTTTCTTTTGTGTTACGATAGAAATCACCATTACTTACTGAAAGGGTAGTGATTCTTGCCCTCAAGCACCTAGAGTTAAGAGAGCTAATGTAAAGATACTAAAGACCACAGACCATGTTATTGGGATAAGACAACAAGTTTATTCCAAACAATATTGCTATAGAAGTTTAAGTCCTTTAGCAGAATGCATCATTTTAGTTTCTTAGGCTATGATATGAATTGTGAAGTGGAAGACCACTTGTGATAGTAGATGTCAGGGGAACGATACAGAATGATGAGTCGCCTTGTTTCAAGGATGTGCTTATCATTTAAAATCTCTTTGTTTTTCCTCTTTACCTTGTACTGGAGAGTAGAGAAGGGAAATATAATCAAACAATTTTGGATTAGCAGTTCTGTTGTCTTTTAAGAAAATGAAATGTCTCAAATATTTCTTATAAAGTGTTTCCGGAGGAAGAAAAAAAGATCAATAATGTCGACAAGGTAAATGTTAGTGCACTTCATAACAGAATATTTCAATTGACTCTAGAGATCTTTCTCTGAGACTAAAATCATACAGTGTGGCAGTTATTTGACCTTCATTCATCTCTGCCCAATAGATATCAGTTCAAATTTTTGTGCCTTGATGAATAGGAAGGGGGAATAAGAAGTAATCTCTGATACTTCTCATGTGTCAGCAGAAAAAGAAATTCTCACCTCCAAATGAGATTTATTTAATGATATTAGAATTTGTTATTTTCAGAAAAAGTAAGACTTTTAAATTACAATTTTTTTGATTAGGGTTAATTTAATGAATGATTGTGTAACACTGCTACAGAATAACTGTATATTTTAGCTAAATATTAATGCAGATAAAGGCTGAAATTAATGGGCCAAATGCAAGGCAATGATGCCGGGGAAGAATTTGATTCACTCATGCATCACTAAGGAAGATTGTGATCCTGTAATATTATTCTGTTCTATTGACTTTCTGAGACTGCCAAATAACTAAGTGTAAATTGGAATGGGTTGTTGGGATTTCAGTGCAATATAATCGCTACTTCGCTGAAAAACTGCAAGATTATTGGCTTAGGAAATTGGCTTGTGTTTTTACTAGCTAAATGCTATGTTCTTAGTGATATGTGGTACCACATTTAGCAATTATTATTATTGTTGTTGTTGTTGTTACATTTTCCTGAAAAATTTGGTTTCTCATTGACGCTGGAGTTTTTACAGTGATATAAAAGCTGCTCTCATTATTTGTCCACATTGTTGGTATGAATACAATGCACTCTGGATAGCATAGTCTACAGTCCTAAAATAATTTTTTATGGGCAGATCTCTTGCATGCATGAAGTCCCATTGACTTCACGTTCTTCACACATGGAGCTAATTAGAAAGTTAATATCTGTGAATTTCAGCAGCTTTGTGCTAGGTATACAACCAGATCAAGTTTGCGCTCATCTACTTAGAGTTCAGTCATACCATTCATTCAAATGGTTAACGCATGCACTAGAACTGTGAGTACAACTTTTGAATGCTTGAAGATACTTTAATTATACTAGTACAGATCAGTAGTAACAAACTTCTTTGTTACTCAATGATTCTTCATTGCTCTGCTTGAAGTGAATTAGCAGTTTTCTTAATGGACAGGGTCTCATCTCATTAAATCCGCTTTTTGGAGCTGCTGGTCTCAGAAGAAATACCAAGGACTGCATAAGGTCCTGATCCGGGAGGCAAACCCATGCAGAAAGACCCCTACATCTGCCTAGAGGTCCGCTGAAGAACCACCACCAAGGTTTGGCAAGCCACTGACTTTCTGTCCATTGACTGGGGGAGTATGGGTGGAAGGTAGGAGGTTGGGTGCCTCCTCATTGACACCATCTGGAGTGGTGTGCACGTTTCCAATCACATGGCAGGCTTGGGGTCATGTTACTCTCAACTCCCCACCCCTTCTTCCTTCTTCACCTTCAGAACCAGGCAGCATTGCCACGAGTCAAGGCTTGCTGAAGGGGCAATGGCGGGGAGCAAGCAGGTGAGGAGAGGGGAAGCTTCCTTTGCCATTGTACTTTCTAATTTGCAAATAGCAAAAGAAAGGCAGTCTGCACTTGAATCCTTTTTAAATGGATAAGTGAAATGGCATTCCCTTGGCTTTGATTCTAAACATTGCTTGGTTAGAATGAGAAAGGTAGCTATGAATGCATGAGAAGCATTAAAACTCATTTGCTGGATGGTATCACATGCTCTGTAATAAATGTATTGTTTATATTATTGCAGCTGGAACAGACAAGTAAAAGCATTGGCTCAAGTGCCCACATGATCACCACCGCCAGGGTACCTGCTGATAAGCAAGTACGAATTGCCTTCAGCCTGGATGAATCCCCAGGTACAATTTAATTTACAGATTAAACCACAAGGAAGTGATTGCTTTAATTTTTTACATGCTTTTACTGGTGTCTACAGTATCAAATGAAGCCCAGAGTTGTGGGTGAATTTTCTTCCTGAGTAATAGCAGTATAGTATGATCAGTTTTCTCGAGCAGTAGCTTTTAATGTTTCCATTAACAATTTCATTAGAATAAAATGACTGACTGACAGTTTAAATTACTTTTTTTCCAATGGTTTCAGGAAGACAGACTTAAGATTTTAATTAACTATCAAAATCATTTGTATTTACAGTATGCTTGATTTTCAGGCAATTTTAAAATAATAAAAGAAAAGGGACATTTTGTACTAACAGTGAGGCTAGAACAGGAAGAGACTTTCCCTTCAACAGGAAGGTTGGAAAGTGCCACACGTGCCCAGCTTGGTGAAAGGTTTCAGGAAACGGATGCCCCACATGGCATGTTCTCTGAGAAAGCAGCAGAAATTTCATTGATGTTTATCCTGTCAGCTAGTGCTGACTGATCATTAATTTCCTCAAATATGCTCTGTATGCACATGGCCCCTTCAGACTTTGGAACAAAGGAATATTCTCAGTTTGTATCTTAAATATTATTAAGGTATGGAGAGGCATTGACATGCAATAAAAAATCAGGGTGTGACACAGTAAAATGGAAGGTAGGAAGTATCTTAAATAAAGTTGATAAAAGTGAGTCACTGTCTGAGATGTGCTGATGGTGTGAAATCTAAGGATCTCTGATAAAGATAACAAACCCACTGCTGATGAGTGCTCTATGGGACAGGATAATATGTGAAGTCTCTTCCTGAGCTTTCTGAGAATAGTCTTAACTTGGATATCATTTTCTCATTTTAAAAAATACTGTAGAATATACTTTATATTCCCTAGGTAATTATTGCATAATACCATTTTACAACTATTAGTTTGGAATAAAGTATCATCCCTTATGCAAGGAGATTTCAAAACAAACATTTATATTATTGCATGTAACTTGCAGCTTATGAATATGAGTAATCCACAAAGATTGGGAGAAGAAATATAAGGAAATACATGTGGTTGTTATGTGCCCTCTTTTCATAAATTACAATAACATGCTAATTACATTTTTATTACAGAAAGTAATAATTAATCCTTGTCACTTCTGAAGCTATAATGGCACGGTACATTTCTTACAAGAATTGTGGCAAATCTAAGTCTTGGAGAAAGACTGAAAAGAAAGGAGAGTGATCTTATGAATTACGGAAAGAGAATGCTTATGGGAGACACTGAAAACAAGTCAGGGAAAGCTGAGACCATGGGAAAATCAAAGAGGGTAGAGTGGTTTGTGACAGGAGACGGCAATAGGAAATAACAAGGTTGTGAATAGCTTGGAAGAAGAGGGACATGAAAGGCAGGAAGCCTAGCTTCCTTAACGTTGCATCATATTTATTTTTTACTTCTCTATCCTGCTAATAATTTCAGCCTCTGTTATCATTTACAGAAAGAATCTCATTACAGAAAGGTAATCTTTTTCTGTTACATTCTGTTCAATTTTCCATAGTTTTGAGTCATTTATTACATATAGACAAAAGTTCCAGCAGTATGAATCTTTGAGTAGTGATAAAACTAAACAGCAACCAGTAAAGTGACTGCCATATATTTCTCTGCATGACTAGTCCTTAGGAGCTAGTAAGGGGTCTAAACTGATGCCCTGTTTTACTGCATCACAAGATTTCTACTCTTTCTTCTAGTGGTAACATGTAAATATTATTACCTTTTACATTACAAATATTATTACATTTAATATTATTAAATATTATTAGATTTAATATATTCAGAGAAGGCAAAGCAAAGAAACTGCTGTAAGGTTTCCAAATTTACAATAAACCATAGTCAGATCAAGATGCTGTAAAGAACTACATAGCATTTAAGATGAGCTGGGTACATACAGGAAGTTCTTCACCAGGGCTATGTGGTGACGGCATCTCTCTGACTTAAACTTTTCCTTGAATTTTATTTCATTTGAAAGGCACAGTGATAGGTTTCACCAAGTAACACTGCATTATCCTTCCAGGGGCTGTACCACAGCTTACTTGGAGGAACTTGCAGCATAACTAGATATAAAAAGGGGAAATGGAATGTTTCTTCTGGGTGGTGATTATCTCACTGGCTAGGATCGTAACCAAGCACTGGGTGTGAGAAGCAGTGAAAGGAGAAACTGCTCTCAACTCATGAGAAGAGATTACTTTGTGTTAACTGACCTACAAGACTGGAGCTTGCCTATCCTCAGTATACAAGAAATAACTTAATTGTGTTATATTATTTGTCAGTCAATGCTTTGCTTTGTGCTTTGTACAGCATTTTAATATGAATGTTGGCAAACCAGTTCCTTAAAAGTCCCAAGAACAGCAGCTGATTTGAGTGCTATATAAGATGACAGTTTTATTGTGTATCTCTTATTCCTGTATATATAGATATCTATGTTTGGCTCTTTTATTCAAGTTCACTAAGCTGGCATCAAACATACGTTCCCAGAGTATGTCTGCACATCATATTGCACCAGTTTGACTTAAGGTACTGTTTTAAATTAATGTACTTGAGACATATAATATCAGTCTATCTTATATCAATTGGGAAACTAATACAAATTAAACTGAATATGATGTTCCAAAATTTAAATAAATGATCCCAAATAGGAAGTTCATTTTAATTTATCAAAATTGATTTATTTAAATCAATTAAATTCAATGTGTCCTAATTTATGTCATTAAATCTTATTAACTGACCATATCATTAAAACATCATATCCAATTACTAAATGTAGTACTGGATATGTATTGTGTAGTAGTTCCAAAAAAGCCTGTATAGGTAAATATCTCTTTAATTTCCCTTCCAGAATAAAAGCTTGAATCTAACAAAAGAATTCTGGTAGCAATGTGTGTAAATTACTACTCTACTTCTGATAGCACTCTCTGGGAAAAATCACAGATAACAAAGGCAAAATATACCTCTTTTAATAAAACTGACAGACAGTGAAACGACATGGTATTTTTGCTAGCATAGCAAATGACTTATTTTATTCCTCTTTATGCCTTTGTTTTCCTAGTGACCATAAATAATTTTTTGCTTTTATATTTGATCTGGTAAGACTGTTTTGTAATGTCTGAGTCAATAGCAAGCTTCAAAGGCCTACTCTATCATCATTTTCATTCGTAATGGCAACAAAGACTTTCCAGCTGATAATATATTGATTGAAAACTAATGGAGATTGCTAAAATATATGGGTGAAATTTATAAAGCAGGTTTTCCAAAACTGCACTCAGCCGACAAGTAAGTGGCTGGGTCTTTGGAAATGATGAGAACCATCACATACCACTCACCTCATCTCACTCTCTGTTTCTTATCTACAGACAGTGCTGTTAGCTCCTGAGGGGGAAACATACTGCCAGTGTGGCTGTCTGTTCAGGAGCTGGCATGATCAGCCCACTTTTGAGGTCTTCGGGGCACTTCTGTGATATAAATAAGAAATTCTAAGAGGGGGACAACATAAGAACACTGCCGTACATTCACTTTTTAGCTTGGGCTCGTGCATGTCTTTGCAGCCCCAAATGTTTAATAAATCCTGCGTGCAAGACCTTATTAGGATAGGAAGTACTTACTCGTTGTATTTTGGGGAAGTTAGGAACCTACGTGAGATACCCTCAAAGGGGCAGAGGCTGTACATTCCTCACAGGACACTTTAGGCTTAGGTTGAAGGTATACTGAGTAGGAGGGTTTTGCTCTTACCTCTTGTGTTATGGGCTGTGCTATTTTTGGGAGCTCTGCAACTCTTATTATTGAGCAAGCCTTCATAGCCTATTCCTGGGTCGGGCAGTGACCATTCCTCACTATTTTATGCGTGAGGTAACTGAGGGGTTGCGTAAGGTCGCTGCGGGCAGGACTGCGAATAGAACCCAGGGAGTTTCACACAGTAGTGCCAAGTCCCAGTCACTTAGCCACACAGCCTTCCAGGATGAACCCGATCAGTCTGTGCTCATCTGTCAGTAACCAGCACTGTAGCTACTGGGCCTCACTGCCCTCTTAGGGCCAAGGTCGGACCCCCTGTAACACAGTTTTCCAGTGATGTCCAACTGTCATTTGCAGTCAGGTTTGAGCACTTTTCCTGTGCAAGGGCTGATCTACTTACAGGATAACAGCCTGCTTATGTTACCAATTTAATTCTTTAATTTAGGAGGAAGAGATCTGAATACACTTGCCCACGCATGTAGGAGAGAAAATTAGTATCTGATTGTATAATTAAAGACTGGGTCATAACTCAGTTACTCGAGGAAGCAGAGTTGTGATTGGCATTTCCTAAATTTTGAGTGCTTGATTTAGCAACCTTAATATGCTTTTAACACATTTAAATTTTTACGTTCTATTTCTGGCTATCTTTGTGAAGATCCAAGAGATACTGTAATTTGTGAGTTCATGCTGCAAACAAATCAGATGTTGTTCTTCAAGTCAACTTAATCATCAACTGTTGCCCGTATCCCAGTGGAGCAGGTAATAGGAAGAGACAGGAATGTTACTCTTCACTGTACCAAGCATTTTGTCAGACAGTAGAATGTGAGGGATTTTACTTATTTGTCTACATCATGGAAATCTGTGCTACTGATATTTCCAGAGAGCCAAAACATGATAAGCTTCCCAGAAAGCATGATTTGTTCTTAAATGCACAACATCAGTGTATGTTGGGGGGACTGAATGCATAACAACATCACTAATAAGTGATAAGCCTTTTGTGCAAAGAAAGTCAGTCTTAATGTAGTTCAGCTTTCTAAAACAGATTGCTTGAGTGAATCTCTGCACCATTTCATATAATAAATGCATCATCACATTTGCATGAGTAGGTGTGATCAGCAGAGAGACAAGAGCTCACCTGGACAACAGAGGTTGAGTGGCTTAGCCTTACTGCCTGTGCACACCACTGTCCATCATGCCATCTCAGCATGAAGGTGTGTTGGCTGGGCAGCTTAGGGAGCTTCTTCATTTGTTATATTGCTAGCTTTGCTATAGGAATGGTCAGAGTTGGTTTTGAAACGTAAAGATGCTTTGTCTGAGCTCAACTGAATGGAAAGCAAAAAGAATGTGATTTAGTCTGTTCCCTTGTGCACTAAGGCAGTAGTAATTCTTTTAGAAGAAACTGCAAGAGTTTCTTGCCTCTTGATTTTCTGCATGTATCCTTAAAAGAATCTTAGGAAGTGAATAATTGCTGTCACTTGCTTTCCTCTTTTGTGAAATCTAAATGTGTTTTATTTTTACCAAGTAATTTTTGTTGTTGTGGCTGTTACTTTGACAACAGTGAAATACAGACCAACCTGAAGAAGTAATTAATTTCATTGGAAGCTATGTGGAAATCTTTTTGTTGTTGGTTTTGTGGAAAACAAGCTTGCAGTTAGTTGTGGAGATACTGTTTGGTTTTGTGGGCATATCTGTTTGGTTTTGTGGGCTAAACACTTAAGCTGAAAATTTTGATAGGAGCCCCAAGAGAATTACAAACTCAGAAAAATTTCAAGCCACCAAAGTCCCCAGCTTATCTGATGTGGTGAGCATCATTGAGAGGATGATTTAAACAAGTCTTAAACTAGCATACCTAAAAAAAACCCTAGCAGCTGTTCAATAGATGCTAGGGCAGGCCCATTATAAAATGTACTATGGTATGCCTTAATGGTTAGGATACCAATATGTTCCACTTTTAGTACCATTGACTCAGTCACTTGAGTTCAGAAAATAAGTACGGAACATCTGCTTATTGAAAGGATTTCCTCTACAGTAAATTCTCTCCTTATTCCATCCTTTCTAAAACATTTTCAAACCTTATTTACTGTTTGTTTGTTTGTTTGCTTTCCTGAGGGGAATCCAAAATACTTTCTAATATTCTGCAACATTATTTTTCCTTATTAATATCTGATTCAGTGCAAAAGTATTTTTTGGATGATATCTCTTCTTTTGGGGTGACTTTTTCTTTAATTTTCCTTAAGATAAAATTGTTTGAGTTCCCTCCGTACTACTACTGTACTGAAGTTGTATTGCTGAAATTGTCAAAACAAATAGGACCATTCCTCTGCTCCAGTATCTCTGTCAGAATATTCAATAGCTATTTGGCCAAATATCTGTAGAGCAGCTGTACCGCTCGTCTGGCTGAGTCCTATTCTGTCCTTCCTTTTAGCTCTGTCATATGATTCAACTTTCTTCTTTTAGATTATTGGTCTATTTTTAAATATCGTGCAAGAAAGTAACAGAAAATTAAAGGTAAATACTTGCATATCATCAGGATACAACTCTGAAATAAAAGCCATTTAAATATTTTCTATAAAAGGCATGTATGTGACATGGTGCACAAATGGAAGTTGTGTGTGTGGGTGTGACTTTATGAGGAAGACACCTACCCCATAAAAATATACTTCTTTGCTTTGTTTCCTGCAGAGGTTCAGAAACATTTGCTTTTCCCTTTCGTATCCCTGTATTTTTCCTCCCTGTTCTCCTCTGGGCATTCCTTCCTACTGGTGTCCATCTCAGGCCGAGCTAGTTAAAAGTAAGGTTCTGAGTGTCTGTTAGCCAGTGCATGACTACTGATGGCTGGATAAAGAGGTAACAATATTGGAAAAGTGATTTAAACCTGCTTTGACACATAGTTCTTTAAATCCTGTTGGGGATTTGTGATATACAGGTTTGTCAGCATAAAGCAGTCTACAGGATCTGACCTACGGTAGCAATTTTCTCCAGTGAGAGCCATCCTTGTTTTATTTTGACACATTACAAATAACCGACTCTGTAAGCTGGCTAATAGTAACCTTCTCTTCACCTCCCATAACCTGTAGTAAGATACATAAACCGTCATCACAACCCAGTGCAAAACTGATAGTGTGAAAGTCACTGAGAAAGAAATATTGCGGTGGCTAGCTGTGACACTACGTAGTATGATTCATATTTCTGATCTCAGTCCAGCTACTAGTGGGCAGGTGTCCACACCACAACACTGACGCAACTGGCACACTCTGTCCCACCTTTGCATGAAGCCTGTACTAAAAATAAAGAAATAAATAAAAACAAAGTTTGGCTCATTGTCATGAATGAACTAACTCTAGGAGGGAAGGATTACAATCTGCAGGTTAAAGTAAAGACATTTCCTTACAGTACGGAGAAATTTGCGGTGCTTCCTCACTTTAATCATATCTGTGTTGGTGACTGTCTTCTAGTTGCCGGTGTGCCAGTCTTATTTTCTTGTTCATGCAACTGTCTTTGGATGGTGGGAGAAAAGGTTTCTATTATTGTTGTTTTAGCCCTGATAAGTCATTGTACTGTGATGGGGAAGTTACCTTTCCCTTTCATTCAAGTGATGAACTCTTTCATAGTAAGTATGCTGTTTGTAGAAGGTTCCTTATTTTGCACTGTAATGGAATATCTCAGGGAGTAAGATTGTTTCACTGTATTGTTTTTAAACTGTCACACTCGTCTTCTGTAACTGGCTTTGTTTTGTTTCTTAATCACGGCAATACAAAACAGGATTTCTGCTTTTCTAGAACCTAAACATTTCCTTATTTCCCACCCATTGATATTGTCAAAGAGTCCATTCAGGTATCTCAGATGTAGAAATTTAAACATATACATGAAGATGTTTGTGAATATATGCAATTTAGAACTACTTTGAACAGATTATTTGAAATGCCCTTCTTGGTAGATACTGGCTTTTAATGTCATCTGTACCTTCTAGATGATGATGCTCCTGAGAACTCCTTCCCTTTGGCATTTCCAGAACTAGATCAACAGCTGCAGGTAAACCTTTTCTTTTTTGAATGCAGTTCTACTACACATTGACTAGATTTGTTTTGTTAAAAGACTCTGGATGTTATACTAGGATGAAAGTTTTCAGTAGTGCTTCTCTAATCTATGAACATTTAATAAGACTATATATTTGCATAGAGAACATTGTCATTTTAAGATCTGAGAAAAGTGTTTCAGCATCTTTAATCCAGTTGCAGGGAAATAACTACTTTAATATTCTCACATGCTTTTATGTTGTTTTGGTTTTTTTTTTACAATTCCTGTGCAAAATACAGCATGACTACTGCACAATAATGAAGGGAGTTCTTGTGATTTTGATGGGAAAGGAAATGAGCCATGCATGTACACAGAGTGTGCTAAGACTGGTGATCAGCTTTCTCTTAAGCATCCCTAGAGAACACAAAGGTGCATTCTGCAGTGCCATCCCATCTCAATTCTTGGGTAATAAAGGTCAGTCATCAAAATTACTGAATCATAATACTGAATTCATACTGCATGGCCAGCAAGCCACACAGTCGCCCTAGAAGATGTCTGCAGGCAGTACAAGACAGAAGAGGTGAACTCCTTCATGCCCGCTCCGATTTGTGATGTCAGTGGAGCCCTGATTGCTGGGCAATAAGGTAGCAATTGATGGCAACTCCATAGTCTGCCAGGCACAGAGCCAGCTCTGTGTCCAGGGATTATTTCCTTTTCCTCTCTGGCAGTTCTGGAGTGTTTGTTGGCCTCTGTAAGCTACTTTAGATCATCTGTTTCCCAGGAGCATTTAGACTTCCTCTGATATTTCAATATGAAGGCAGTTGTTTCCTGAGTGTAAATTGAGAAAGGCATTAGCAGACCGTGTTGTCCAATGATGTCATCCTTCCTGTCCCCATCAACGAGTGAGACAACATTGGAGGGCTGCTGACTTAAAGGACGTAATTTTCTCTCCTGCTGTTCTCATCAAAAGGATGACTGAGGAATGGAGGATGACAGAGACTCTTCTTGCTCTGTCCCTCTAATCCTGGGAATAGAGGCAGGCTGCTTGGGCACAACTAGGAAAGATTAAAGGAATGAATAGTACCTTACAGTCTGAGCTGAAAAGAGCAGCAGAGACAACTGATACTTTTTCTTCCCTCAGAAGAACTCCATTTCAGAAAATCTGTATTGTTTTGTGGCAGATATATTGAATAGAAAGTCAATGACCTGCATTTTTTTTCAGTCAGTGACACACTGTGTGTTCATGGATAAATTGCCTCATCTCTCTGTTGATCTGTGAAATGAGGTTAATAATTTTTACCTTCCTTGTTAAAGAACACTGAAATGAGTAAGCGGAGGCTTCTCTAAAAGAGCAAAGTATGATTGTCAATACTGCTGTTGGTACCTAAAAACAAAATTACTAGTGTTAGATGTAGGTACTTTACAGGCCAAGTTATTATTTTTTATTAGGACTTTTACAGCCCATTTCTGGAGCAAGTAATGTGCTCTAAATGTGTAATTTTATGATAGGCTGAAATAGACTGGAAGCATTCAAGTGTGTTGGATAAGTAATGGTCTGCTAAGTAAAATATTTTCAGAAGAAACTTTCCTTGCCCTCATGATTTCAAGATGACAAGTTCAAAGAACAATCAAAGGCTTTGATTTAGATTGTATTCTTCTTATTATCCTTCATTAACTATTTTAGGGATAAATCTGAGATAATTCAAAGGATCTGATGAGGAATATCTGACTCAAGCACTCAAAATTGTAAAGTTAATGGTGCTGCTTCACCCATTAGCTTTTCAAGCTTATGTGCATATTTATGTTTAGATGTCTTAATGCTGAACTGGTGGTAGTTAGTTAGCATAGGGTTCTGAGCTATGTAGAGGTAACAGTACATTTAGCTTTAGCAACAAATACTTCAATTTTTTTGCTTTCATCAATGTGGATCACAAAGTTATAAACATTTAATATAATTAGGTTTAAATTGCTTTAAAATTCCAAAATAATAGTAAGTGTAATAAAGTTATAATGTACCTAGTTACAACTCCTTATTAATCACATTTTTCAGTTAGTGTGATACAATTTGCACAGGGTACATCAGCCCTGTATAGCACATATTTGCAATTTTTGTTAATGGAACCTTCCCAGCATTGAAACAGGTAGCTCCCATACTACAGAAGCAAACTTCAACAACATAAACTTCACCAGGACCTGCAGAAGTACTGAATAGTAGTGAATAGTGGTGTCCCTAGCCACCCCATCCATGCTTTTCTGTATCCCAGAGTTAGCTAGTGTAAAGCAGCACACATCTCAGTAAGCCCTTTAATCAACCATGGCATAGCTGCCTGAAATACCTGAGTTTGTAAGAATGTTGGTACATATTTTTATAATAAAAACATCACATATACAGCCATGAGATTTTCATCGCCATGCTGTAAATACAGTCAAAAGCATTAGTATTTTATTTAAAGAAAAAACTATACAGGGTATGTGTCTATACAATACCAGGAACTTAAAAAAAGAAAGAAAAAAAAAGACTATCTTTGTAGTTTTGAAAACTGGTGAGACCTTGAAACCTTTAAAAAGAAGAGCCCAAATTAACCAATCTTCAGGTTAGGTTTTGAAAGCAGCTTGAAAGATATGTAAGTTCACCGAGCCACTCGGAAAATCAGTGCCTTAGTATTCTATGCATGCAGGCGGCAGACCACAGCCTGAGTACCAAGCAATTTGCACCTCTCTTTTGGGCTTCAAGCCCTTGCCTTTCTATCTTTGTCCCTGGCAGTCATCTTGGCCGTTTGAGCAGAATTACCTAGTGTTCCCACTTTTCCTCCCACAGTCCTGCCATGCCTCCTGCCTGGGCACTGGTGTCCGATGGCAGGGCAGAGTTCAGTGTGGCCACCCCTGGCAGGGTGTTCGTGCCTGCTGTCCAAGCACTGCTGCCAGCTATGCGGAGGTGGAGGTAGGATTGGCTGGAGGAAGGGTATTTCTAGGAGGCCAACTGCAAATACTTAATGCTCTGTAAGAATTCTTACTAGAGGAGAAACTAGTTGAAAGTCAGAGCTGCTTTCTGAAGAATAAAAATGGTCGGTCCAATGTTCAGATCAACTAGATATGTTCAGACAAAAATATTATCTTCTCCAATTACCTTTCTGAATGTTACTTTTTCCACTAATGTGAGAGGAAAATGTTTCAAGAAGTAATATGTAAGAAAATGATACCAGTTCTCTAATTCAAAAGTTTTGTTCTTGTTTCTTGGCCTTTAAAAAAAAAGAAGTATTGTGTATGGCCAATCAGACACAATAGCTCTATATATGAGAACAACAGCAGTTTATAGACAAGAAAAACTTCATCTTTTTTGGAGCTTCGTTATTAAAAGAAAATATATAAAGAAGTTCCTTATATACTTAAATGAAACCAAACTCATGTTAATAAGTTTTTAATTTGGCTTTCCTTTGTTCGCAGTATTGGAATGTATTATCTTCCCACTCAAAAGCAACACTTTGAGGATAAAGCACTTGTTTATTTGGGCTTCGGGTTTGTGTTCTTCCCCCCATTGTACAAGCAGTATAGTCAGAGGTGAAGAGAGGCCAGGCTTGCTGCATTTGTCAGTTTGTTGTTGGGAAATGTTTTCCCTTGTGTCAGAGCTAAACCAGGCCTTGATTAGCTGCACAGTGGTGATGGCCTGTCTGACAAACATTTCACTACTGATTTTATCTATATTTAGACATCTACATCAACATATAAGGCCTTATTGCACAGGTCACAGAATGTAGATGAATGTATCTGGTATTAAAAACTTAAATTGCTAGGCCCTGTCTGCTGTCTGTCCTGCTCCAGTATTTCCTGTGGTTCATCTCCAAGAAACTCTTTATTCCATCTGGGTGTTTGATTCTAAATAGGGAACAAATCTCGTACAGATACACAGAACGTTCTGTAACTCTTTATCCTTCATGAAATCTCGAGCTTGAGACAAGCGTTTGTATCATATTTTGTATGAATGATAAATCTCCTGAAATCAGTAGAGTTGAAAGACCATAAAATTTCCTATGGCAGAGAAAAGACTCCAACTGTTCATAATATCAGCTTGTTAAGTCAAGGGGTTGTTTTTCATGCTTTAGTAGGAAATGTGTATACAAAAGAAGTGAGGAAAACATTGCAATAAGGCCAGTTTGAATTGACACAAGCATTTATCAGAAACCTTGTTTATTCTGTCTGGAAATTAAATGATGGAACCATTGCTTCTGCTGACTGCCAAGACCACTGGTACACAAACAAAAAAATATTTTAGAAAAAAAAAGCGTACAGAAGTTTTAAAAAATTTGCTCTGTATTAAAAGTACTAAATTCCAAGAGACTTCCTATAGTACTTTGGTACTCTATGATTAGATTTGAACTTATTAAGTCTCCCATAACACTGCTGTAATAACTGCACTTTTAGATTCTGTGTGTCATGGGTGTTGGCAAAGCCAAAGCATCACACTATGATTGGAAAAGTATAGAAAATCTCTCAGACAACGAAAGCAAAAATCTCTCAGACAACGAAAGCAAAACTCTCATCCAGCTGACCTGAATTGTTTGAAAGATAGCTGCTTATTTCCATAGTAAAAGTAGACTAGACTAGATATATCCTAGACTAGCTGCCTGAAATTGCTTGAAGAGTTGCAGTTGCTACCAAAAAGGAGCTGCAGTGTCCAGCTATCACATGAAAGCACAAGGCCATGTAATGAAAATAGGCCACATGCAAAACATTGTTATTGGGCTTTCTGTTTTTCCAGAATGGTTTAGCTGGATTTGTTTTACCAGATCTACAAAAAAATAAGACACCACTCCAGACCTGTGCTAGAGATTGCTTTCTAGTTGAGTTTTGCTCAGCTGGCAAAAATGCATGACACAGTCTTTTTCTTTAAACTTCCCAGAAACAAGTCTTGATTTCTTTTTCAAGTACCTAGAACAACAACAGCAACAACAACAACAATAAACACAAACAAAAATTAATAAATAAAAAATTGATTTTTAAAGTTTTTCAATAGTGTAGTGACACTATTGACTATACAGAGCTTACAGATTTGGCTGTGAACTTCTGTGGATTTAGAATGCTGATATTCATGTCGCAAGGGAAAATGTAGTTTGTAAAGTGAACAAATCAAGGAAAAAATGCACAAAACAAAATTGGAAATTGTTCAGCAAAGATAATTAGAACAGCCTGTCTTAGGCAGAACGCTCAGTGTCTTAGCTATCTTTTCATGAACTATCCCTACATATCATCTTTCAACGTCTTTCATAACTGCATTTGAAATGAAAACCTAAATAGACATTGCAGATGTCCTGTACAGATGTATGTACCTATGTGCAGGAACAGAATAGCCTATAACAGGATCTCTTAGTGTCTGTTTGCTGGGTTCTCTAAAAAGTTTGTCAAGGTGAGTCATTCCATAAAGTACAAGGAAAATCAGTCCTTGCTGAAAATTAGGGATGGCAGGATAGACCAACAGTATCACTGAAAGCTATAGTTTCTGTAATAGCTTTGAGAACCAAATCAGAGATGCTGTGTGCACATATTTTGCCAACACAGGAAAATGAGGGTGGATGACACTGAAGCCTGAAATAAGCAGGATTAAAAGTAGCAACTGTTGCCATTAAATATAACTTTCTTTGGCAGGAGCTTTTTTTGCTTACGTAGCAGGTATGCTTTTATATATATTAATTATGGACTGGCAAGATACTTCCTGAAGTATCTGAATGAAAAAAAACCCGCCATACTGTAAATTGAACTTTTTTAAGGACTTCTGTCATTTGTCACCTATGGAAGCAAGAGTGCTCTTACCAAAAAATAGCATACAGACTTCATGGATTAGAATGGGGATGCCAGTTCTCTGCCAGAGGACTGCCCTCTGGGTAGGCACTGTAAGACTTCGTGTGGCCTGGTCACAGGCACTCAAAAAGGCACTGGAGGTGGAACAGGGAGCAGAAACTGCTTAGGACAAGCTAGAGGAAAAAGCTTTGTCTGAGAGGGATTAGAGGAGTGCAGCTTGGATGTAGGGTTGGAAAGTGCATGAGAGCTCTCTGTAAGCGTATCACAGGGGTAGAATAGGCAAGATAAAGGAACACCATTTGAATGAAAGCCAATGCTGGCATAATAAAAAAACTGGAAATATATCTTCAGCAAAATGGGACTGGAAGTAACAGAATAATTTCTAGTCTTGGTGAGGCTCTGGGGCAGACCCTTAGCTGAGGCAGAGGACTTGAGCTGCTCTAACAACATGATAAGCCCGTGGACTGCAGAATTTGATTTTGATAACATGGGGCTGGGTTCAGATTTTAGCACATTCCTCCCAGTCTTATTTAGATGATTATGGGCAAGTTCAGCAACTGCTACATTACTGTTATTCATTTCTTTCCTAAGGAAATTTGTCAACACTGTATATTTGTGCCAATTCTGAGGTACACCTTTAGAACAAGTAAGCTTCACATCTTTCTGAGTTTTTTGTCAAGAGTTTGCCCTGCCATCTTCTGAAAATGCTCATTTTAGTGGGAACAGATGTATCATTAATTCTCTGCACCCTTGTTTATGGCAAAAAGTAGGCTGTTTGACATGGCTAAAATAATTTCCCTATGCTTATGTGTTGCTTGGTCTTTTATGATGAGCGGCAAAGAAACGAACAGACTGTTGCTACTCCACGTGTCTCTTGTGATTACAGTACAGCTGCTTGTTAAATAATGATGCATTAGCCTGTGTTTTATGTACCACAGCCCAGAAATTACTCATAGGAACTGTAGGTATTACCTCCAAAACCATTCTTAGAACTGTCAATTTTAGCAAAGAGCAAATCAAAATATCCAGTCATACAAAAACATTATCAAATCTACATTTTAAAGTAAAATGCACTGTCTTAATTTAGGTATTTTTTTTCACAATTACAAATAAAGTTACTGATTTAGTGTGTAAGAGCATCCTGAAATAGATTTGTATGAACAGAATATCAGTAAATTGTATCTTTTATTGTCTGTTTATTTTGAGTGATAAAATATCAATGTAAGAAAAAATGACACTGAAGAGGAAACAATGGTAGGAGTTTGAAAGCCAGCAACTGGTTCTAAGTGGGAATTAGATATTAAGGCTCAGCATGACTAGATAATTTTAACTCTCTAAATATATCTTTTGAGTGGGAAGCTGGAATACAGAAACTGAATGCTGCTTTAATTTTTAAACTGATTTAAACCAACTAGTTTTGCGGAAACTATGTTGAAAGCAAAAGCAGGTTTCTTCTTCTTTGAAGTATCACTCTGGGGACTTTCCCTCACAGGGTATTGTTAAAGATCGTTTTATTATGATGCATTTGTTGTTTGCTGATCTCTGGTAGATACCAGAGATGCTACTTTGGCTCACCCTTGCATTCTTGGATTAGAGCGCCGAGACTTCTATATTCTGTCCTGTTAAATTTGTGGTTATTATTTGGGTGACTGTATGAATGGTGTTATTGCTCATCCACATTGAAATGCAATTAAAAGCCCATTCCTAGGACCACATTCAACCGGTAATGAACAGCCCTTTCTCTGGGGTCCCAAATTCTCCGAGCTCAGAACTGTGCCATGAAAACTATTCTGCTGTGGCATTTCTTACATTTGGAAGATGGAAAATGACTGTCTGTTTTAAATTTTCAATGCGGAACTGCATACCATCTGCAAATACTTTCAGAGGTCCATACATTAGTTACATTTTTGCACTGGTGTGCATCTCAAGCCAACACACTCTGCCTCTTGGATAAAAACATTTTTAATGTTTATTTCTGAATATGTTTGATAAAATATGTATTTCCAGTTTAGCTAGAATACAAGATTGCAAGATCATAGATAGGAAATGTCTGAAGACTTGTGCTTTTCTTTTTCTAAGAATGCACTTGGAGGAATGTTACGCTACAAATAAGAGTCAAAATGGGATGCCAAGAAATAAAAATCTGCTTATATTGTGAAAGGCAATTGGATGTTATTTAACTGGACAGTAAAGGAACTATTTTAAGTGCTTCCTTTTGCTTCAAACAGGTGGCTCAAGCATGCTATTTGGACTTCATTTACAGTCAATTGATTCATGGCTAATAACTTAAAAATAATACACTTCCTGAAAGTGCTGTGGTCACGATGTGCCAGCCAAGCTTCAGGCCCAAATTAAGTTGTACTCTTTTAAGGAACAAAATACACTGACACTTAACCACACTGTATTTTCAAGCTTTTAGTTGAAATTCTTATGAAGAGACTTAGGACAGGGTGATTTAATCTGCTGTACTTAGTATGCACTGGAACAACAACAACAAATTTTTCTGTAATAATGTATTATTATTAATAACAGTAAGGTATACAGGTTAGGAGGTACAATGCTTTTACGTAACTTCACTATTTTTTATCAGATTTTTTAATTACTGTCATCTTTCTACTCTGAATCTCACACGCTCCTCTCATGGAAATTGGACACACTTTGCCAATGCTCTGCTAACTAAGTATATCCTCTTCTACAGGAACTAGCGATGCAGAGAAACTGGAGACAGACTTGAGCAAACTACTTAGAGATTGAGGCATTGCTGGGTCACACACACTATGAAATCTTGGCTTTACCAGATTCAGCAGTGTAGCTCCTTGTGAATCCAGCAGAATCAGCCCTAGCGTCTCAATTCACAGTCTTGTCCATTTTAATAATAAGCTGGAAGAAGCAGCATTTCTGTGAAAAGGAGTGTTTAGTCAGCAACTTTCCATACCTTTTATTCTCCTTTTGAGAATTGGAGAATAAGGGCTAGTTTACACTCAAATTACCCTTCTCTTCAGTTCTGTAGTTTCTGCAGTGTAAAGATACACACATATTTTGTAGATATGACTGATGTGTCAGCTTTATCATTCTTAGTTTACTATAGCTGAAAAAGGAATAGGTAAGGGAGAAATCTTTCTTTAAACAGTCTTTCATGATACTTTGCAAAGTTGTTGTGAAAAGCTCTGAAAATCCTTACAAAGTTTGAAGGGTTATGCATATTCATGCACAGAAAAGCATTCTTTCCCTTCTGTGGAAAGCCATCACTAGGAGTATTTTCAATACAGCAGCTTTTCTCAAAGTATTCAACTTTTTCTTTAAGTGTTCTCACAGAGATGAACTGACAATTGTATCTTTCAAAATCTGTGTTTATTCCTAATATTGCATTCAAAAGCAGTATTTTTTTCTTCTTCTGTTCATAAAGCCTCTGCCTCCTTGTCATGACTCTAAAGAATCGATGCAGGTGTACAAACAACACTGCAAAATAGCAGAAGAGTATCATGAGGTGAAAAAAGAAATTGCTCTGCTGGAAGAAAGAAAGTGAGTAACTTTCCCACCATATTTACTGCTGTATATTCTCCTTGTAAAACTCCATTCTAAATGCGAGGCTCTTAGATGACACTTCGTGACCTTATTCCTCTGCATGACAGTCACAGTACAGCACAACAAGCCCGTGGTTAGGATTAACTGGGGCCACTAAGGACACAGAGCTGTCAAAGCTTTGGGCCTTCAGTTCTACAAAGTCCCTCAAAACCCTCAATACAGCATCGGGACACTTTATCCTTGTCACATAGCAATCTAGATCATCTAGAGCAGTTACCTTGTTAGTTTTAGGGTTGTTTTTTTCCCCAGTTTAACTTTGTATGTTTTAATGAAAAGCATAATGGATCCTCAGTTTGGTGTCAGTTACTTGACAGTGTTAGTAAATTTTTTTCTGGGTATCATCTCTATGTACATTCATATTTTAGGTGCTCACATCCAGAGTGCTTAAGCTGGAGGGAGACTTTTAAATTATTTTTAACATTTTTGTCTATGGCCTCTACTCATAGCCCTGTCATCTTCACATGACTATTAAATGACAAAGTGGGTTTTCTGGGACTCTTTCTACAAGAAACATGACAAAAAGGAATTCTGTGAGGGAGGAAAAAAGGGTGAGTGGCAGCAAACCCCAAGCAATAGCAGTTACTGCAAAGAAGACTTTCTACTTCAAGTGCTTTTTTATTTTGACATTCACATTGAGGGTGACTTCAGAAGGGCTGCTGTCCTCAAGGACAGATACCTCAGTGTGGATATCTCAGATTTATTGGGAAAATAAAACCACACAACCATACTTCCAAATGCTGCATGAAGTTCTTGTGATTGCTGTAGTGAAAGAAAGACTATAACATGTTTGGAAGAGAGGCATTCATTGCATAGCAGCAGGGCTCGGAAAAGCTCTAGCGGAAAGGGTTTTGATTAGAGGAGGAACCATTCTAGATGTGTCATGGCAATCTTAGCACCAATTGACCACACAGTTCAGCCACATTTGCATCTGCAGGAGTCTGTAGCTGCAAAAGCAAGCTGAGGGGGTGGAAACTGGTGAAATTCTGTGGTCTTGTAAGTAATATAGAGAGAGATCACTGTGAAACCAAACTTCGTAGAGTAAGAAAGTGATGCTTGTCTTCATCAGAGTTGATGGCCGTAGACAAAATATGGTTAGTTGTTGCCAAATGTATCAGAAATAGTTGAGGTTTCCCAGTACCAAATCCTCTTCTACTGTGGGATCTGCATGGCACTCAATTTCTAGCATACTGGCACAGTGGTTGAAAAAAGAAGAAAACGATAACCTGAAGAATCTGAACACTACATTCTCTCAGTGACTGCACTTGATTCATTATTAATTGAACTTGGCCAGTGGAAAGTAACTGACACTTTAAAAATTGTGTAGAGAGAAGATATACAGTTCAAATAATTTTACAATGATTTGTCAAATATGATCACCTAATCTGAGCTGTTTACGTGTCTATTTAATAACCGAGGGAATTCAGAGGGAACCATATGTGCTTATCCTTTCTGTAAATGCCAACTGAATATAGATATTGAGTGTTGGTGCTTAACTTCAGACACAAATTCAAATGATAGCCTTAGATTAATTGTATTTTAGAGCCCACCAATACAAATTCATTATTGTTATTGATGCATTCCTGAATCAGCTCTACACATTTACAAAGTTATCTTGAGACTGTTGAAAACTACACTAATATATATGTTTCTGCATTTGCAAGAATGAAAAAAAAAAAATGCTGTTTGAGTACATTTTTGCAATCTGTAGTACTAGCTACATTAGAAAAAATATTTTGTCCTTGAAAATGGCAGATGCATGCATGGAATTATTTACTTGAGCTGAAAAACTATCCTAATCAGCCTCTGAGTCCAGAAGTTTCTCAGCAGTTGTAACACTGAATGAATTAAAGGGTTTCAAGCTGCCATTTTCCTTCATTTCACTAGAGGATGTGAACAGTGGAACAACATGAGGAAGTTTCCATGTTTCTACCTACCTCTGCTGAACATAAGATTTCATGCTCAGAAAATACAATAATACGAGAGCAGCTGAATAAGACAGCAAATAGAGTTCTATTACAGTCCTTCTTACAGGCCTCCTAATTGCACATTTGTGGCCCAGATGCTCACGTGCTTCATAGCCATGAAGTCCCTAAAAGTGAAAGATGTCTATGCAGCACCTTTCCCCACCTTTCAAATCTTTTAATCAAAAGAAATAGACCAACAAGCATTAGGATCAAAGATTATTTCCTACTAGTAGGTGCACCGTAGGTATTTGATTTTGAGGCTTAAAAAGCTGCACATACCAACTGAAACTTCTTCTCCAGGGAGCTATTTATAAAGTCTCTCCCTCCACATATATCTCCATCTTTCAGTGCTTTGGAGGAGGAGCCATGTTACTGTCTTTCCTCTTTGGGGTGTCTATCTTTTCTGTAGCAGTATGTTTGTTTTTTAAACCTTTGAGAAAACTGAGACGTTGTCATCCCCTAAAGTTTGGTTGAAGTTGGAAGGTGGATTAAAATCTTACTAGGAAATACACAACTCTACACACATGTAAGGATGCAGGACCAGAACATATTTACCTTATTTTTTATATAAAACTACGTTGAAAAGGGTATGAGTGTAGAGATAAGCAAGACATAAATGAAATTTTTGGTCTAGCAATCAGTGATTTATATCCAAAATTATTCTCAATAGTAACAGTTCAAAAGTTATAGGAAATTTATAGGTTATCATATGCTGAACTGAAAACTTGAAGAGTGGATCATGATGGCTGGGGTGACGTGCGTATTGAGAATTCCTTTCTCAGAAGAGAAGGATGCTTTGTCTTTTCTAAAAGAAGTCCAAAGTGATGCAGAGATTTTAAACTAAAGAACAGTTATAATCAAATGAAAAATGTGGAGATGTTGTAGCTTTCTGAACCATGAGCAGATGAGGAAATGTTACAGGCGCCTTAATTTTCTAAATTTGAATTTGAATGTATGGAAGTGGAGAATCACAATTGCTTAATATACCTGTCTATTTCTTTTAAATATCCACTTGATAAAATGGACAAAGAATCCCTTGTAATGGGAACAAATAATTTGTGCAGTGTTTTTCAGCTTCTGTTTTTACTAAAGACAATGAGAAGTGCTATTGGCTGATGGCCCTGCTAGTCTTCTGGATTTCTTCTTCACAAATCAATTCACCTGTGGAACTCAAATGTTGAGTCTCCCCTGGTAGTGTCGGCACCTGTGGTGCCTACTACTAGTAACACTGTGCATACAGACTATTGATGGTGGTTGTCAGGCACAAAGCAGAAAATAAGATTTTTTCTTTTTAATTTGGTGGCTAGGAGAAAGAAAGTCAACCTGAAATTAATAGAGTTATTGGAGGTGTGGTGGTTTGGTGGGGTTTTTTTTGGCCTCCAAAGTTCAGAGTAACCTTTCATATATAGAAAAACACATAGGTATACTTATAAAAGAAGCATCTTTAAGAAATAAAAAGATGAATAAAATTAAAATAGTTACTCTTTTTGAAACTTTTCAGTGGTTTTCAATTCTTAGTTTGGCTTGTCTCTCCCTGAGTGTGTGGATTATCTATGGCTGGATTACTGAAAGGGAGTAGTGTGAAATGACTGGGGTTGCTTTTCGTCAGAGCTAGAGCAGAACATATTTGCCACTCTATTTTGTGTGCAGTACAGATGGAAAGAGAATCTACTGGACTAGTAAGTGAGAGAGAAGATGACAACTACTTCATAAGAAAATGGGAAATGTGAAAGGGAGGTTGCAGGTTCAAAAATGGAAAAATCAGAGGGCAAAGCAATGAGAAGGTAGACTGAGGTTAGGAAAAAGACAAAAGGAAGCAAGAAATTGAAATAATTTAAGGGAACATTAAATAGATTTGCTTTGCTAATATAATTCATCATAGCTCTGTTTGCAGTCTTGATTCAGACTCTTCCCTTTTATGCCAGCAATATGAAGTAGGAGGGACAAAATCAGTCTGGAATGGGAGACATGATCAAAAAGAAAGAAAAGGGTGGGGAAGTGAGAACACACCACATTTAGGTCACAGAATGTTATTTAATTTATGTTCCAGAAACACACATGTATTTCCATAACAGATGTTTTTGGGTATCTAAGTTTGGGTGAAAGGGATGGGATAGCTGGTTATTTTGAGCACTTGTTATATTGCTATTACTAGATAATGACCCTGGATTATGTAGTTAAATATTAGAGTTGCCATGGTTGCTAGCTATACCTTATATTCTTAGCTCTGGCTGCTTTTCTCTTTTTCCTCTCCCAGACAATTCTAATATAACTGTCCAGAAAATATCACTCGACCACCACCTGGTACAGAATCACTCTTCTTCTTTGCTATGGTTATGATTGTTTTTCCTTCCTTTACATGTTACGGTAGATATGCAGTGGAGATGTCCACTGAATTTTGTGTGAGCCTTCTATGTGCTTTAATGTGTCATTGTGACCTTGGAGTGTTTCTAAGGTCTCAAATTCAAGTGGCTCCTCCAGGCACACTTTTTGGTGTGACTTTCCCTGTGCTGTTAAAAAAAGTCCTCTTCAGACTTCGAGGTACAGCAGAAAAAGACTGATGTCAAGGCGTAAAAGCAACCTTTTATCTTACTATTTTTTTTCATTCCAGACTTGATTTTTCATTAACTTACGCAAATCCAAAATACTTGTTAACTTGCCAAATCAGTAGAAATTAAAGCTTTTCAAGTATAAAGAGAAACCACAACTTCCCCTGTTGTAGTAAAAAATACGTATCTTTTATCTGCTGGTATTTGAGAAATAGCTTTATTTACATTAACACAGGCTGTCTCACAGTTTAAAAATTAGTTACTGGACTTTAAACATGCAAGGTTAGTCTCTTCAGTCAGCAGTTATCATACGGGGGTCTCGTGATTCCTCCTGACGTGAAAGCTGTGTCAAATATGGGAAAAGTAAATGACCTTAGGGCCACCAGAACACGTCAGCTAGGAAGACGTGCATTGTACCACGTGTGTGATCCTGAATACATCGTTCACAACTGCAGGGAGACGAGCCTGTGTCTTTGCACTGTGGAAGCAGTTTTCCTTGAGTCTGGTTTCTCTATCTGCCAATAGATTTATCTGGAGACATGTATATCTGCTTCGTCTGTCGCTTTTTTTGGTATTTATTCATTGTGAATATTACTGTAAAGTAATTCTGTTCTTTGCATGGGCAAAGTCATTAAGACCAGGACTAAAGCAATACTTTCCCTAAGATCATGCTGATTTTCTTTTCTTTTCTTTTTTTCCTTCTCTGTTATTGCTTATGGTTTATTGGTTTATGATGCAAATCACACTGGTCTTCCCTTCCCACCCTAACCCCTCCCCAGAAAAGAGCGCTTAAAGTGCATGTTACAGATTGTCTCAAAGCTTTAAGTACCTCAACACCATTTTAGAAAATACCTTGTAAGTGCTGTTAATATTTAAACATGGGGTAACCATTAACAGCAAACACAGATTACACAATGATAAATCTATTTATTAGGCATCCATAACAAAGGCTAGATGGTGCAAGAGCTTAGTGCGGTGTTCTTTAACCTCTGAGAGCTAAGTTCAAATCCTGGATTAGATCAGAAGCAAATGTTAGTTACTGTCCTCATCCTTTGTAAGCTTCGTAAACCACACCATTCATAACATTTAGCAATTCCCTGGTATTCTAATTTTAGATCTCTGTGGCAGGCTGGTAGTATTTGCCTGAAACATCACCCTACCCTGTAAACAGGTGTTGATCCTGATGGGAAGGGAATAAGTAGGTTCTGCTGACTCAGAAGAGGGCAATTTTACTACCTCAGGGCAAGGAAGGGAGGTCCTAGAGTCCTGCAGTTTACTTTGATCTTAACTCATTTTTGCTTTCTTCAACAGCAAAGCTAAGTCTCTGAAAATAATAATAATAATAATAATAATAATTAAAAAAAAAAAATCTATGCTGCTTGAGTTTCATTAGATAGCAGCATGAAAACCATGCTTGCAAGCAGCCTTATCAAATCAGGACTGGCATTCATTAATAGAGCTGTCTGCGTTTGTACACTGTCTGCCTGTGCCGCCTCTGGCTCAAGTCCAAATAGGGTAGGCATTACCTTTCTTTCACAAGTGCTAAAATTTCCCATGGAAAAGGTTTATCTGCTCTTACTATGCTGATCACTTACTAGTGTGTTCATTGCCCCTGCCTTTAAGAACCTCATAAAGAGTGAGAAAATAATTATTCCAAATTAATTGGTTTAGAAGACTCCTCAGCCAGCAGCCTGTAGTTTGAAAAAGAGTCATATAATCCTTCTGCCCAGCACTGCACCAGTAGAATAATTGCAAGAAAGTACTGCTAAAGCTCTCTTTTGGCCCTAAGAGACAAAAATCTTCCAGTGGAAGCTGACGGGGCTGAAGCGATTAAGCTAGTAAAATTTCTCTAAATCTTACCTGCATTTTTTTGCGTGTTCAATAGTCCCATTAACAGGAATATCAAATTATCTGGCATGATCAGTTCATCTAGCCTACTTTGAAGAGCAGTAGATCTAGCACAGCCTAAACAATGAAAAATTAATCTGTTAATGGCTTTGCTGGTTTTAAAATTTTTACAACTACATTATGTCAAATGTTAACAGAATTCTACTAAAGGTTGGAAAAGACCTCTAAGATCACCCAGTCCAACCACCAGCCCACCCCCACCATGCCCACTGCCCACGTCCCTCAGTGCCACATCCACACGGCTCCTGAACACCTCCAGGGACGGTGACTGCACCACCTCCCTGGGCAGCCTGTGCCACTGCCTCACCTGTGCATTACACCAGTGGTCTAAAACAAAGTTGAAACATAGCTACAGGAGGGCTTCTATATACTGCAACTTGGGGATGATTTAAAGTGCTGTAAAGCCTGCTAACTCTTCCCTATTTCGTTTTTATATGGGAAGCATTTTTTTGAGAAATGGGTCTGCCATGGCTTTCTTACAACTCGTTGAACTGCAGTAAGTGTGGCTGTAAACAGTCAGCAAAGCCTTGGGTAAACGATGCTATCTCTCAAAGCTGCAGTAAAGAGAGAGAAAGATTAAATTAATCTTAAAAGAGGACCAGATAGGACAATTGTTTGAAAACCCAGGTGCTTAAAATCTTACTGCTAGAAGTGGTGGTTTTGCAGGTATAAGTAATGCAAGCGATCAGCAAATACTGAAATGTTATCTTTTTGTGAATGCTCTGACCTATGGAAGCGGAATCACTAATCTGTAAGAATTTCCTGCATGAAAGCACTGGTTCAGCTTGCCAGGGGACCCTTCAAAGACTGCAGAAAAAGCAGTCTGCTTTGAAGGCATTACATCTTCCAACAGATGATCTACAAGCATTGTTTTGGCATGACTGAGAAAGTCACAGGGCTCCAAAGAGTTAAAAGATTAACTAATTGCTGAGATAGAGAGATCAAAAGAGCCAAGAACCCTTTAAAAGAGACTTCTTGTAGCAGAGATGAAAAATGATTTGACTTAAAGGGAAATAAAATAGAGGTCAGACTAGTCTGCTGGGTAACTAAGTGGAGTGCGATTAGATATCTCATATGCGCTCAGCATGTTTTGTTTTAAGGCCTCCACTATCTTAACTCCTGCAGAGGGAATTTCAGCTGATGGTCTACAGTAGCCTGCGACTTCTGGCCAAATCTGGGAACACAGGGCACCAGGTGACTCCAGTTGGGATGGAGCAAACAGCTTGAATTCTTGGGTGTCTGCTCTCAAAAAGGCCAGGAGGGGTCAGGTTTGCAGTTGGTGACTATGCTGCAGCAGCAGAAGTAAGGTCTGAGTATAAGAACTGAAAAGAAGCAATTTGTTTAGTTCAGATATGTGTGCCTAGTGTGCTCTAGAACCGTTTTTCTTGGTAGCATAGAAAACAAAACCAGGCGTGCTTCACAGAATATACCAACTAGATAAGGAACTGGACAACAACATCAGAAAACCTTGATGGCTTTCAAATATATTTGGTATGGTAGAGAAAAATAAATTGCTATTCTTCTTACACAGGCAGCATTTAGCATTCAAGTCCCTAGGATGTTGGTCCTCCCCATACAGCTGCATGGTGAACTCTTACTGAAGGTAGAGATATTTATTTACTTAAAGGTCCTCAGCATTTTGCAGGTTTGGCCTCAGGAGAACAAACCTATCAGAGAATTAATCTTTTAAAGGAAAAAGAGCATCTGTAGCAGATATGTTTTCTAGGTGTGTATTTCACAGCAGCTCAGGTAATGCCTATCAACAAGGTGTACTCCAGCTTTCTCCTAACCCATGACAATATGTATTTTGCTTGCTGCCATTTTTAATCTTTGTGAATTTCTTTTTAATATTATTGCCAGGAAGGAGTTGATTGCCAGACTGGAACAAGTGGAAAAAGAAAGCATGGATGCTGCTCAGCTGGCCAAGGAGTATGCAGAACTGACAGAGGAGAACCGAACACTGAAGCTGGCCCAGACGCAGTGTGTAGAACAACTGGAAAAGCTCAGAATACAGTACCAAAAAAGGCAGGGATCCTCATAACTCGCAACTAGCTTATGTCAGGCAGTTAATACAGGATTGATCCTGTGCTGGAAAGAGATTTTAAAATAAAGGTCTGTTTAATATGTTATAATACTTTACTACAGATACAGAGTATGTAGAAGTCTATATTTGATTTAATGCTTGCCAGCCAGTAGCTTAATATAATGGATATTTCATCCATTATATAATGGATATTTTATTTCAAGTAACATAATTGAAGTTAATCTATCCCCATTATATGTTCTAGTAGATCAGGTTTCTTTTCTAAACATATTTCTTCCAATTTAAGAAGATATGGACACACTAGAAAATGATATAAATAGTCTCTGTGTTGGGAATTTGGACCATACTAAGGCATACAGCAGGGACAATGTTAATATATGGAATACACGTATGTTAATTTTAGTTTGGTGAAGATTTTTAAAATTATATTCCTCATGCCTAAAGTGTTTGGAAGTTATCTTAAAACGGATCTCCTCATGGGTAAAAACTAGACTTTATTATCCCGTGTCAGCTTTACTCTGTTGTATAAAATCAGATAAGTTGTACATTAAAATTGAATTAACCCAGTTACTAGTTATGAAGTGAGAGTAGTGACAACAATAATTTGCAAGTTTTGAAATTGCAAGGAACAGATGAGATCAGGCTTTCCTTCCCCAAACGTAGATGACCTGAGAGTCTTTTTTGCCATCTGAGAAATGAAAAGTTAATATATGAATGCTACCGTCACAGTTGTAACTGAGAACATGTCAGTAAGCGTATCATGAGGGTATTTTGTTCTCATCTTCTGGTCTGTTTGGAAACGTAAGTAACTATAAGTACATACAAGAGTTCCAGGATACACAAATAACCTGGAATTAAAATGCTTGTTTTACTTGCTCTATTTATCCCTGTATTTTCCTAATTCAATTGAAATTCTTTGTTATACTTCCATTTCTACTCATACAGTATTTTTTTCATTAAAAGCAAATATAGAAAAACCATTTTATGTTCTGAACATTATTAAAGCTCCCTGTATTTTTAGCTCGAATTGTTAATTTGTCTTGTTACATCTTCATGAGGTTGGAATTCAATACAAACTTGATTTGTCATCAGTTCTAAAATGTCTTAGTAATTGAAAACTTATGATTTTTGCCATAACTTTAAGTGTGACTATTATCAGTAACCTCTTAGGTTTTAGGTTCATCTGAACATTTCCTAGGGAAGTCCTTTGGCACCCCAGTGCCTCTGGCAGCAGAGACTGGAGCATGAGCTGCCTCTTCTCCTCAGCGTTCCCCATGGCGCAGAGTGGAGGCAGGCCCTGCTTTGCTGCCAGTGCCTCACATTGCAACAGGAGAGCATGAGATCATGAGAGTGCAGCCTTGTGCCCACTTCTCCATCTGGGATGCCAGGGCAGTGTATATGCACAGCACTTGTTCTATCACCCCACCCCAGCAAAGACGTAAAGGGTAATAAGTAATCACATGTGCCTGTTTGCTGGTGGAGTGCTTTATGAGCAGTAAAACATCGTGCAGTGGTCAAGGCCACAAGCCTTGAGTTCAAGACACGTTTGGACGTACATAGGCTTTCATAGAAGACTCAGACACAGAGTTTGAATTTTGGGTGGCCTTGTGTGGAGTCAGGAGATGGACTTGATGATCCTTATAGGTCCCTTCCAACCCAAGAGATTCTATGATTCTGTTTCTCTTTCTGAACCTACTGTTACTTGAGGACCCAGTTTGCACTCTGTGTTGTGAATGCTGGAGAGAAAAAATACGGTAATGAATAAAAAGCACTTGGGATGTCAAACTTGGGAATGCTGGAAAAGCTATTCTGATGGCTAACATACATTGTGCAGGCTTCAGGATTCTGTTTTGGGCACTGGATGCTGTGGAATCTGGGATCACAATATCACAGAATCATAGGGGTTGGAAGGGATGTCTGGAGACTATCGAGTCCAATTCCCTGCTAAAGCAAGTTCCCTACAGCAGGTCACACAATGTGATTCAAAGAGAGTAGACAAGTGGAATTTTCAAAGGAAAAGGGCAAGGAAAGACATGCAAAAGGTTCAGATAGCAGGAGTTTCTAAACGTATAAAACTGTGCAGATATAGTCTGTTACACAGAGAAAGTGTATTCCTTGCTATTATTTGAGTTAGCAAAAATAAACATGCCGCTACAATGACAAACAGATTTGCTTCAGACCACTTAAGAAAGCAGTAAAGTAAATGGGTTTAAAGAAACAAGACCTGTGCTATCCATTTCCTATTTTTACTAACTTCCTTCCATCGTAACAAGTGCTGAACAAGCTTAATTTAAGTATTCCAGTTAGCAAGGATATGACTCATGTGGTCTCAAAGCAGCCAGATCCTAGGGTACTTTTACATGTGAAAAGTCTGGAAGATAAGAACCTGCAGCAGGTTTGGGTTTGGCAGCGTGTTTTTTGTTTTTTTTTTCTCTATTTTTAATGTTCCTCTTTCCGAGGTTATCTCTATTCTGGTGGCTTTTGTGGATTAATCATCTTCGGAAATGTGTCATCCCCCTTGTCTAAAAAGCTTTGTTGCCACTGAGGCCCTTGTGACCATGACATGGAGCTCATTTTCCCCCACCTAACATTCTGCGCTTGCTTGATGCTCAGAATGACAGCACTGGAAGGAGCAGGGGGGCTGCTGGTTGGAGAAGCCGTGCCACTCTTCTCCTGGAGGAGAATGCAAACTGGGCACTGACTAAAGAAGAAGGTCTCAGGGAGAGAAATTTTGCTTCAGGTATAGGCATAGCAGGAGGACTGCTGATTTTGGCCAGCATGACTATGAGGAAGTTTGGCAGAATGCATTGTGGCTCCAATTTCCCAAATCAGTGAGCCTTAATACCCACAAAAGTTGGACTTTCGACTCTTGAAGTGTTCTCTGATGCTAAATGCCCCAGTCTGTGATACTCTGTGTATCTCCAAACAAGCTGTATTAATGGGCATTTTGTGTTCTAATCTGTGTGCCTCAGTTCTATATGAGAGAAGGGGTGGGAGCACATACTAAGAAAATTAATGCATCTTTCAGTGGGAAAAGTAAGTGGAAGACCCATGGATAATGGGTCAGGCAGTGGTGAACATGCTGAGTTGAGATGTGGTGAATGCCCAGCCCCTGGAGACACTCACGGTCAGACTAGATGGGGCTCTGAGCAACCTTATCTAGCTGTAGATATGTCTGTTCACTGGGGGGGAGTTGGATCAGATGGCCTTTAAGGATCCCTTTCAACTCAAATGATTCTATAATTCTATGAATATCCTTGGAAAATCCATACAGATACTCTTAACAGTCTTCAAGTGGCACTGAAAGGTGTGTAATAAGGGAGCCCTGGAGCTGTTTCTGAATGAGGAGGAGAATACCAAGTACCAAAAAGCTGCCCCCAGTTGCCTATCCTGCTTGGCTTGTCTGAGGAAAAACCAAGTGCTGGGTACTAGAGCAGACTAGGTGCAAGGAGAGGGAGAAGAGGGAAGCAAGGTAAAGTTGGATGGGCAGTCTTCACTGTTTCCTCTCTTGGATGCCTTGATTTGGAGATGATGCTTCAGATGAATAAAAAGCTGTTCAATTAACATTTAAAATTAAAGAAAACCTACCTTCTTAGAATAGATTCTTCAGCGTTCCTTAAAAGGCATATCATGTGTTAGTCACAGCCAGATGAATAAAAGACTGCAATCATTCACAAAATATCTCAACCCAGGCTTTCTAGACTGCATAGTCCAGTGGTTAAAGCTGTAGAAATCAAGGGCTTTAGCGTGAGTCATTCAGCATTTCTGTGTGACCATCATCAGTTCCCCCTTCTAAACCTCAGTTCCTTCAGTTCCCTCATTCTCAGCCCATGCATCCTTACGCCTTCTGGAGAACAGAGCAATAGTCCGGAGTGCAGATCCAGTTGACTGGTGATGTCATGACATGGTCTGATGATCACTGTGTTCTTCACATGTCTTCCAAAAGTTCAGGTTGTAGGACACTGTGAATGGGTGCTGGGGTATGGCAGCAAAGTGCTCAACCAGCTTGCAGCTGCCGTCTTTGAGGTGCTTTGTCCTTTTCTGAACTATTTAGGAAAATATGAGAACAACTCTCTGTGGATTTAGTTATTTGTCTGAATTGTGCATTAAATTTTAATAGATAAATTAGGGAAATGAAATAAGGATGTGTGTGCTGATGTAACAAATGCATAGACAGATGCAAGACTGTCCTTTGGATGGTTAGGGTGAGCACAGGGATATGAGAGCTGTGAGAAGGGGAACTGGTGAGTGAGCCGTATGTTCTGACAGCTAGCTTGCTTGCTTTTTATGGCTGACACTGGAGGGGTGTACAGACGGTTATTCTCAGTCCAAAATTAAAAAGCTTCTCTTGGAGGTTTTCTACTGGGATATTTTATACTGGGATATTTTACACTGAAATATTTATTTCCAAATATTTACATTATGGGAATGTTCATAGAATCACAGAATGGCCTGGGTTGAAAAGGAACACAATGATCATCGAGTTTCAACCCCCTGCTATGTGCAGGTCGCCAACCAGCAGACCAGGCTGCACAGAGCCACATCCAGCCTGGCCTTGAATGCCTCCAGGGATGGGGCATCCACAGCCTCCTTGGGCAACCTGTTCCAGTGCTTCACCACCCTCTGAATGAAAAACTTCCTCCTAATATCTAACCTAAACCTCCCCTGTCTCAGTTTAAAACCATTCCCCCTTGGCCTATCACTGTCCACCCTTGCAAACAGCCATTCCCTCCTGCTTATACGTTCCCTTCAAGTATTGGAAGGCCACAATGAGGTCTCCCTGGAGCCTTCTCCAAGCTAAACAAGCAGTTCACAGAATCACAGAATCGTAGGGGTTGGAAGGGACCTCCAGAGATCGTTGAGTCCAACCCCCTGCCAAAGCAGGCTCCCTACACCAGGTCGCACAGGTAGGCGTCCAGGCGGGTCTTGAATATCTCCAGAGAAGGAGACTCCACAACCTCCCTGGGCAGCCTGTTCCAGTGCTCCGTCACCCTCACCGTAAAGAAGTTCTTGCGCACATTGGTGCGGAACTTCCTACGCTCCAGTTTTCAGCCATTTCCCCTTGTCCTGTCTCCACATACCACTGAAAACAGTCTGGCCTCGCCACTCTGCTCCCACACCTTAGATATTGATAGACCTGGGTCAGGTCTCCTCTCAGTCTTCTCTTCTCAAGGCTAACCAGACCCAGCTCACTCAGCCTTTCCTCATAGGAGAGACGCTCCAGGCCCTTCACCATCTTTGTGGCCCTCTGCTGGACTCTTTCCAAGAGATCCCTGTCTTTTTTGTACTGGGGAGCCCAGAACTGGACACAGTACTCCAGATGAGGCCTTACCAGGGCAGAGTAGAGGGGAAGGATCACCTCCCTTGACCTGCTAGCCACGCTTTTTTTAATGCACCTCAGAATGCCATTGGCCTTTTTGGCCACAGGGGCACACTGCTGGCTCATGGCCAACCTGTCGTCCACCAGGACACCCAGGTCCCTCTCCGCAGAGCTCCTCTCCAGCAGGTCATCCCCCAACCTGTACCAGTGCATGCAATTATTCCTCCCTAGATGCAACCCTAGATGAGTTCCCTCAACCTTTCTTCATAGGAGAGGTGCTCCAGCCCACTGATCATCTTAGTGCCCCTTCTCTGGGCTCACTGCAAGAGCTCTGCATCCTTCTTGTACTGTTTCTGTCTTGCATGCCTAATATGAACAGAGCTACTCAAGGTAAGGACACTTATAGTTTTGCAGAGCGTTCTCACATACAAAGAAGAATAACCAGCATCGGTATATGGCTCCATTCTGCTGGTGTGGATGCATCTATACTAATGACTGTATTTGCATTAAAAATAATTAAATTACAGATTACAGCCCATATACAGTAAAAACGACTCTGAAAGTAGAGCTCTTTGGCACTGAAATAAATGCATCCCCACTAGTTGGCAGTATGTTAGTTGTATTAACTAGACCCCCCGTGACCCACATGAAAGGAGAGTGACATGATTTTCTGG